CCACAGTATCTGAACCCTGCAGTAATAAGCTTACTGAAACACATGTTGCAGGTGGACCCGATGAAAAGAGCCACCATCAAAGAGATCCGGTAAGCCTGGCGAAGTATTTACAAAGTCAAAAATCCTATAGGCGTTGTTTTGTTTTTGGTTGTTTTTGGTTGTCTAGATTGTAAATCACATTATTTCATGATGGCAAGGGACTGTCTGCATAGAAAATTAGTTCTGTTGGTGCTGTTTGCATTCATGATCTTTTAACTACCAAAATGATTCTTCGCCACAGAGAGGACGAGTGGTTCAAAAAAGATCTGCCAAAGTACTTGTTCCCTGAGGACCCCTCCTACAGCAACAACATGATCGACGACGAGGCCCTGAAGGAGGTTTGCGAGAAGTTTGAGTGCACAGAGGAGGAGGTCCTTGCCTGCATATACAGTCGCAACCATCAGGATCCATTGGCTGTTGCCTACCATCTCATCATTGACAATCGTCGCATCATGAGCGAAGCCAAGGATTTCTACTTGGCATCTAGCCCTCCTGACTCTTTTCTAGATGACCAACACCTGACTTCATCAGGTGCAGCGATAGTGAAGCCTCACCCTGAGCGTGTACCTTTTCTCGTGGCGGAGACTCCTCCCAGGAGTATCCGTCACACACTGGATGAACTGAACCCTCAGAAGTCCAAGCACCAGGGTGTTAGGAGAGCCAAGTGGCACCTGGGTATACGCAGTCAAAGTAGACCAAATGATATCATGACCGAGGTGTGCCGTGCAATGAAACAGCTGGACTATGAGTGGAAGGTAAGGAAGAAGAGGGACAAGATATAGGAGGAAATGCTTCATATTTACAATTTTAAAAAAATGTAGTAAAATGTAATCTCACAGTTAGTTATTGAAGTTGGATTGTATTAAAAGTTTAATAAGCTCCAGGTGTACTTTTTAAAGCATCACAAAGACACATTTTCCTTCCTTTCAATAATTTTCTAGGTTGTGAATCCATACTATCTGCGTGTGAGAAGGAAGAATCCTGTTACTGGGATGCTTGCCAAGATGAGCCTTCAACTGTACACAGTGGACAGCAGAACCTACCTCCTTGACTTCCGTAGCATAGATGGTAAGTTTCACCTTCACTAGTCTGTAGCAGTAGGTGAGGAAACAGTCTGCATTTAGATCACCACTAATTTGCATAAGCACCCGGCAGGATGCACTGATAAGGTTACATAGCTAACCTGTGTATGGCTCAAATATTAGAGAATAAAACACATGAAAGATCATACACGAGGCCGTTATTTGTGATGATTCAAAGTGCACCATTAAATCTGTGTCATAGCCTGACCCGCACATTCCCAGAAATGTAACTACATATGACGCAGATGTCAATATCTGTTTATTGATTAGCACATGGATTATACCACAGGGAA